TTACACTACATAACTTTAAGAAATGGTAAAATATCAATTATAAAATACTGTTGAAATAATAAATTGTTGAAAGAGTGTTACAATTATTGTTTTTTATTTAAATTTGACAATTGCTACTTAAAATACGCTTCTTTGTTCGTTTTGTAATTAAGCACAAAGCTATACAATGGGCTATCTGTGGTCTGCTCACCTCGGGTATCGAAACTCGGATTCTAGCGTTGTAACTCTGCAGACATCCCGCTGTGCCACTAGGGGGAGGTCTTAAAAGATGCACACGTGTGATATGGGTAAGAACACAAGGTAACAATCTTTTATTTTATTTTTATGTAAAAACATATTTCTATACGTTAGTTCTTTTAGATCTCATGATACTTTTCCTGTAACCCATTTTGAATTTGACAGTTTTTTATGCAAATTACCTCTGATTCAGCTTTACGTTTTGTCGTTTTTGTTTTGTTTGACTGAAATTGCATAACATTTAATCTTATGTTTGTGTTTCTTTATGATTAATTTGACTTTTTTTAAACTGCATTTCATCATTTTCAGTTGAACTAGTACAAGTTTAATTTGAACGCATCTTTCGAGTGTTTTCAGTTTCATTAAATCTGTTAAATAGAGTTTGGGTTGTTTTTATCTTGCGCTTATACTATGGCTTCTGTTGCTCTTAACAGTTGGTATTAACATATTCTTTACGTGCTTTTAAGAAACACAACTGTCCCTTCCACAGTCCAAACTTTAACAGCAAGAGAAATAATTGCAAGTATTATCAAGAATCTGCCCTATAGATTTTGTTGTTGGTATGTGTCAATAGGGATTGTCGTTATTCATTGTTTATACATGTGTGATCGAGCCTTTCCCCTGTTCCATTTGTTCTCTCTAAAACTCTAGAAGCGTTGGAAATGTGGATGCTTAGAAGAATGTCGAAAATAGCACATATAGAGTATAAAACAAACGAGGAAATATCGGAAATGGCTAAAAATAAAAGGTAAAAGAAGTATCATGATTTTGGACACATTATCAGAACAAATAAGATTCAAAAAAACCTTTGATAGAGGGTAAGGCGGGAGGCTGTAGAAAATGGGTCACAGGGGTCAAGCAGTGGTTGTATTCCAGCTTTAGTGATTGTGTGAGGAAGGCATAGGATAGACAGACGGGAATGGCGAACGTTGAGAACTAGATGGAGCAGCTACAAGCAGATAATGTGTGTGTTTTCTCATAGCAAGGCCACATTGGTCTATCTGCTGTGTCCACCGAGAAGAATAGAACCCCTGATTTTACCATTGCAAAGTCAAAGACTTACCGCTGTCCCACGAGGGTACAGCAGATAATGAAAACCTGACCTGATTATTCCGTTTATATTGGATTTCCTTGATCCGAATGCCACAATGTATAGTGAAATACTAAAGAACATTCATTTACTTGTCAAGTGTTAGAGATATATCCAGTTCTTTGTCGTAATTATCTTAAGTACTTACATAATTTTCGGTATGTTCTGTTTTCTATTTTCTTTCTTTCCATAATGCATAATAGATACCCTTAAATAAATGTTTAAACATAAAATTACAAATTTAGTTTTAAGTTTACTTGCCGATTAATTATTATTTTATTACAAGTTACAACTTTCACAGTGAGAAAAATTATCTTTTTTAGAACAGCTACCTGGTTTGAAACGTCTTACCCGTTCTAAAAAATAATCTTATTTGTTGTAAAAGTTGTAACTTGTAATAAAATAATAGAATTAAAAAGTAAAAACTACCTGAGTCTAAAGCTACTCCAACTTGATAGAATAATGGGATTTGCCAGTCACTCTTATAACGCACCCTCAGCTCCATTGTGCGGAGCTGTGAACCTAAGGAATCACAACATGAGTACATTCACCACTCGGCCACGCCCTGTCCTATCACGTGGGAAACGAAATCTAATTAACAATAGGAATACGTAACAAGCAAAAACATTTAACATTCACACGTTCTGGAACCAACAATCTCCATAACCATCATCGACATACAATTAACATGCCTCAAGAATATGTGATATCCCATAGAAAATCTCATCTATCTAATACAATAGGTCAATAACAAATACCCACCAACGTACGAACGGCACTTTTAAGTAGAACAGCCAAAGACGTAACAAATTCTTGTACTTCTCTATTGTTTTTTTTTAATATCGTCCCTAATTTAGCGGTGGAAGACTAGAGGGAAGGCAGCTAGTCTTCACCACCCACCGCCAACTCTTGGGCTACTCTTTTACCAACGAATAGTGGGATTGACCGTCACATTATAACGCTCCCATGGCTGAAAGGGCGAGCATGTTTGGTGTGACGGGGATTCGAACCTGCGACCCTCAGATTGCGAGTCGAGCGCCCTAACCACCTGGCCATGCCAGGCCTTGTACTTCTCTAATTCTTATACACAATGAAAGCAGCGACCATCTTTATAAGTTTTGAAGTTCTAACATAAGGATCACCAAGTTAGAATATCTGAACAAAATAGGTTTACTGATTTCAAACGAACACGTAACTTTATACAACAATCCCAGTTTTTGTAAGTTTTCTCTATATTAAATGTGAATCATTTACTAACACCTCCATTGTTTACATTTACAGATACTAATATATATTGGTACTTCCCCTCTTTTTTATAGAATTCACTTATATGTTTGTCATAGCAATGTACTGTTTGCTTGTTTCGTACCTCACTTATAATCATGGTGCGCATGTGTGTTAGTTGAGGTTGACGTGAATTGCAAAACATCACAAAAAATCATTTGTTTCTTATGTTGTTGTTTTTTCACGCGATATTCCTTCTTTTCAGAAAGCTTTTTATGGTTACAAATCATTTGCTTATTTTATTACCCAAACGTTTCTTTTTCTTAGCAGAGACCCGCGAAACATTGCGGCTAAATTAACATCTCTATTGCAACCGAAATCTATAAGTCCACTTGTTTTAGGCCTAACATTAGTTAAGCCTTTATTAAGTTCGGCCTATATTTGATAAAAACATAAATTGACACTGTAACTTGTGTAGACATTTGCTTTAGTTAGCTGAGGCTAAACTTTACCATACCTTATGCTATCAATAATAAGTTTATAATGTTATTTTATGACCAAACATTAGACCTTTTTGAAAACTTTGAAATGCTTTTAATACATTGTGTTACCTATTACAATTTCAAATAGCCTAAAGTTAAGATAACTTGTAATTTAAATTTATTAGTTAAATAAATGACGATATATATCCAATTTATGATATTTGTCAACGAGATTGATATACACAGTTTTCATTTTTAATACAAATATATTTTAATATACAACCAATAATACAATTGACAATAACAGTTATTAGAAATAGTTATTACAAACAATGATTTATATACAAAAGTTTCAC